GGTTAGGAACCCCTCATCTAGATAAATAAACATGTAAATGAGTATTTCTTAGTTTTAACTATGCTAAAAATAGTAAAATGTCATACAGCTAGTTAAGTTTCTCAGGCTGGATTTGAATTCATGAAGATTTTCTGTTTCCAAGCCCAGTGTTCTATCCACTGGGCCACCTAGCTGTCCTATAGCTCATTAGAAAGTAATGGAAAAAAAAAAACCCTCAGGTAGAATTGGGCCTGAGGATTAGGTTCAAAAGCCATTCCCGGCTGAAATAATTTCTCTTCAGGATCAGATGGGAAACAGCCACATAAGGATCCTATATCCTTACTTAATAAAGCAGGAACTAGAAACAGTGACTGGGGGCAGAAGGTGAAGATTTGCTTACCAAGTATTAGCTCCCTAAATAAGAATGGAATCTCTTGGGAACAGAGTGGTCTAGTGGCTGAGAAGCAGCCTTAATACCTGGAAGACCTAGGCGCAAGAGCTACCTCTGGTACCAGCTGAGTCATCTTGGACAAACATCTATTTCTACCTATATCTATAGATATCTATATTTACAAACTGTGTATATCCATATCTATTTCTATAGATATCAATGTAACTGTAGAGCTCTCTCTCTCTTTGTATACACACACACACACACACACACACACACACACACACAGACACACACAAAGTCTATAAACTTAAGAGAAAGTGTAGACCTGTATTGATACAGAAAGAACTCCTTAACCCAGGAGTTAACTATAAGAATGAAATCATAGGTCCGGCTCCAATTGTGCTTTAACCAGAGAATATGCCTTCTGGACATAGATAAACTGTCAGCTGCCAAGGCTCAGCTATTAACAGGGAAAAGACTCCAGGTCCTGGGACACCCATATGCACTTGGCAAAAAGTGTGCCCCGCTTGCAGTTCTGCTCAGTGGAGCAAACTGTCAATGTAGAGGAATGGAAAGACTGCAAGAAAAAGACTGCAGTTCTTGTCCCATTAAGGAGCTGGTTTCTGGCCCTGGTGAGCTGACTGGGCCTCCTTTCTGAATCTGACTGAGCAGCGTTGCCACAGAGTAGAAACTCAGTGCAACCACACAACTACTGTACAGGTTGTCCCAAAAGTCTTGGTGCAGGTTTACACTCATTAAAGCTTGCCCAAACTTATTAAAATTTCAAAAAAAAAATCACCAAGACTTTTTGGGACACCTTGAGCTTGAGATCCTCTTTTGCTAGGGCAATTGCTTGTCCTGAATGGGCTTGTTGTATCATTTTATGTGCCCTTTTGTGGATCAGCCCATTTGCAACTAGTACAAGGAAAATATGTCTTGCCTTTGTGTTCTTGGGATAGGGGGAGGGGGCATCTGTTTAGGAACCTCACTGGTCTGTGTTCATCTGTGGGTAGCAAGAAGGAACTAGGAAACTCAATGAAACTGTTCAGATTGATAAAGGGGTATGACAGCCACCGAGGAAAACTAGTCCTAGATTAGGCTAACAAGGCTCTAGTCTGAAAGTATACTTGAGGGGCAGCTAGGTGGCACAGTGGATAGAGCACCTGCCCTGGATTCAGGAGGACCTGAGTTCAAATCCGACCTCAGACACATGATACTTACTAGCTGTGTGACCCTAGGCAAGTCACTTAACCCCATTGCCTAGCCAAAAAAAAAAAAAAGAGTGTGAAAGTATACTTGAGGCTTTCTCTGTTTCTATTTTCAAAAGATTATAGCAAAGGAAGAATGAGCTAACAAATGATCTAAGGAAGGTAGTTCAAACGTATCTTGGATTTATGAGCATAAGGACAATCTGCAAATATTAAAAAAAAAACCATAACATTCTTCCAGTCACTGGCCAAACACACCATATTGGAGAATGACAAATTGACCCATTCCTACAAATGGAGAAACTTAAAATTTGGATAAACTTTAACTAATTAAATTTAATTAATTAAACTTAATGGATGACCTTAAAGTATACAATTTAAGTAGGTTCTACATGCTTCTGTGGAGGAGACACATAACTAGGGTGGGTTGGAGAAAGATTCATGTGGATTGAAAAAGATGGATATTGTGTTTGGTGAACAAGGTCAGAACACAGAAAAAAAGTGATTTGGGAGCCTCTCATTTCCTCTAGGAGACAAGTCAGTGAAATACATTGTTCTTATCTTTGCCTTCCAAGGGAGAGTGCCACTATCCCCATTCAGGGAAGAAAACCAACTTCTAAAAAATGAAGGGAGCTTCTCCAGGTAACACAAGAAGGACCTAGTTCCCTTTGTCTCGTGCTCTGTCCCTCCAAGAAGTTATGGCCCATCTATAAGCACTCCATGTTAAGGTAGATTGCAAGTGACCTAGATTGCATGTCAGTCAGTACAGAAGGCAGGAGTCTCTACCCCTTGGCCCTGTCAGGAATTTGAAAGAACAGTAGGATAAAAGAGATATTTAAGGTCTATTACCCAGGTGACAAAGCAGTGTCCCACGTCCTCAGGCAACTGTTCATATTTCTCCAGTTCTTTGAGGAAGATGCTGCAATGAGAGAGAGAGGCCAAATCAGACACTCTGCACAGTGGGGCCCCCAGACAACCACACCATGAATTAGACTGAATAATCAATCTGAATCATCTATTTTGTAAACACTGTGGGATAAGATTTTTAAACTTAGAGGATCATGGCTTTAGAGTCAAGAGGCACCTTGGATATCACCTAATCCAGGGGTGGGGAACCTGTGGCCTCCAGGCCACGTGTGGCTCTCTAGGTCCTCAAGTGTAGCCCTGTGAAGTTTGGATTCAGTGAAAGGGCCACGCTTGAGGACCTAGAGGAACACATGTGGCCTGGAGGCTGCAAGTTCCCCTCTCCTCGAACCCCTCATTTTATAGATGAGGGATTAAAGTGCCGAGTGGTTAAAAGACTTCTGGAAGGGTTCAGACCTATCCTAAGTGACAGTTGTGATTTGAACCCAGGTCTTATGACTCAAAAGCTTGTGCTCTTTCAGCTATACCACACTGTATCTCCCCTTTACCCTACACATGCTTCTGGAACTCTTCTTTCTACCATCAGTCATTGGGAGCTCAAGAAATATAAACTCATTTCAATAAAAGTCTGAGCTAGGGAACAGCTAGGAAGGGTGGGGACCATATAACATATTCCCACTACTAATCGGAAATGATCATCTGCTGTTTTAGGTTATCTCTGTCCTTTTGATCAGTGAGAAGAAAAAAGTCCACTGTATTCATTTCAAATTGAAAAAAAATCAACAAGTGAAGCCCTGTGTGCTCAGGGAACACAGACTTGTTTGAACATGAGCTGGAGACACCTATTATTAGGAGGAGAAATCTGCTGCCACAAAGAAAGGATAAGAAGAACAAAAGAAAGGAAAAAGAAAACCAAAGAAAAGAAAGCAGAAGAGAAGAGAAAGGGAAAGGAAAAAAAAATCAGCATTCAAAATCAGACATAATGGGTTTTGGGTTTATTCACAGTTTTGGATTCTTTGTGCCTCTGCTTCCCTCGGTTAAGAAAGGAAATGAAGTAATGACTGCATTGATTTGACTAACTGCACCTGCTGTAGGTGGCACCAATGTCCTTGGCAGCCACTCATAGCTCAGGTGAGTGACGAGGTAATGAGTGTGTTTGGGTGTCTCTCCTACGTGTGTCCTGAATTGCACTTGTTTGTTTCACGCTCAAAAACTTCCTTCCTGCACAACCTGGCTGGGGGACGATGGGGATACTTAATCGATACTGCTGATTGCCCCACCCTTCCCCATTAGACAGGAGGCTCCTTCAAAGAGAAAGCTTCAGGTCTGGAAAGGGGGCTAGAAGCACCCCAGGGAGGACAGAGGAGGTTACAATAGAACAGGTTCCTGGTGGGGAACCTTTGGCCTGGAGGCCACATGTGGCCTTTTAGGTCCTCAAGTGCCACCCTTTGACTGAATCTAAACTTCACAGACACTCCCTGTTCTCATGCTGGATTCCCCTAAGACCGGTCAGGGAAGACCAAGGTCCTAGCTATAAGCTTGCATTATAACTCCTGATCTCTATTTCCCCTCATTTCTGTATTTTAAGTCCCAAGGCCTGGATTTAAATTCTAACTCTGATATTTATAAGCTCTGTATGTAACTTTGGGAGAATGACTTAAAATTGCCCAGCCTCCCTTTCATCATCTGACTGGTAAATGAGTTGTAAATTCCACGCACCCAATATAACCAGAAGCCCCCAGATCATGCTTCCCATCCCATCCAACCATCCACCCCACGCATCTTGTCATTTGCTCTCCTATAGTGGCAGCAACCCTCCCCCCCCCCACTTACCTGGAACAGCACCCTTCAGTAGGGGAGTTAATCTAATCCACTAAATTTTGAAATTCTGCCTGGAGACTGAGCTGTCTTGATTGGTGATTACAAACTTGCCTAACCCAAAGTATATAGCCAGCTCCAAACCCAGCTTCACATCTCGTCCACCTGAATCATTTTGCTGCCTTCTCTGCTGCCTCATTCATTATGATATCCTCCTCTCTCCACCTCTTTCCATTTTTTGCCCTGGTAATCTTAATAAAATCAACATTAATATTACTTCAGGAATGGTGTGACAATTAATTGCCCTACAGCTCCACTCACTATTCCTGGGTCTACCTCCACCAAAACTCCCTTCCCTGGCCATCATTTTTCCTATGTGTTATTTCTTGGTTAGAGTGTAAGCTTCTTGAGGGCAAGGACTCTCTTGCTTTTGTATTTGTATCCCTAGAGCTTAGTAAAGTGCTTATGGTTGAGCCATTTTATTTGTTCCAACTCTTCCTGACCTCTTTTGGGGTTTTCTTGGCAAAGATGCTGGAGTGGTTCGCCATTTCCTTCTCTACCTCATTTTATAGATGAGGAAATTGAGACAAATAGTTAAGTGACTTGTCCAGGGTCACACAGCAAGTAAGTGTCTGAGGTCAGATTTTTTTGACTCCTGGCCCAACATTCAATCCACTGTACCACCTAGCTGCCCGCTTGGCACTTAGTAGGTGCTTACTGTGTTCTTCTTCCCTCCAACACACACACACACACACACACACACACACACACACACACACTTATTCTTTCATCTCTAAAATGGGGATAATAATGCTTGTCCTACCTACCAGTTGATGTGATGAGCAATAATAATGATAACCCAATGAGTGTCTTCGGATGGAACAATCTCTCAATTCCTAATGATTATAGAGCCTGGTAGAACTTGGCTCACTACATTCTATGCATCAAGCTGCTCTTAGTATGAAACTAGGGCCTATATCATGTCTATCTTTGTATCCCTACAACCTAGCAGAGTGCTTTATACAGAGTAAATGCTTAATAAACATTTATAGAATGGAATTGAAAGCATAATGCAATTTTAAATTTTAGCCTAAATCTTCAATTTTCTTAGAACTTAAATCATCACCAACAGGACCTCTGACCTCATTGGAATTTCCTTCTCTACTTGTCATACAACTTCAGGGTAGTTAGCGTAGTTATCTTAAACTTAGTTTTAGAAAATAGAGGGTCAATTATGTGGTACAGTGGATAGAGCACCACGACTGGAGTCAGGAGGACCTGAATTCAAATCTAGCCCCAGACACTTACTAGCTGTGTGACCTTGACCAAGTTACCTAACTCCAATTTCTTCCCCCCCTCCAAAAAAAGGAAACAGAGACAGAGTGGCAGAACCAGACCTGTGATTTCATTTGTTTGCAGAACTTCCAAAAGAGGAAACTCCCTCTACCAATGCAGGTTGGCACCTTCTCTGCAATTTATTGCCTTAGGAAGTTTCCTAGAGCACTGGAGAAGTCAAGTTATTTGCCCAAGGTCACAGAGCCAATACGTGTCAGAGGTAGCACTTGAATCCAGGTCTTCCTGGCTACAAGGCCAGTTCTCTGTCCACTATCCCATGCTGCCCCTTAGCAAATAGTGGAAATGATTCCAAAAGAATTGGAACCTGATATAGGTGCTGAGAACAGCATTCTAAGGGACAATGAAATGATCATTTCAAGTTAAATTTGGCTACCATGCTGAAAAAAGGATTGCCAAAAAGACCCCAAACCCATCCCAAAACAAAAAAATTGTTTGCAGGGGCTTTGGGAGAAAGTAGACTGAATTTGGAGTTAAAAGAGCTGGGTTTGAAACCTTCTAGCTGTGTGAACTTTGAGGTCATTTAAACTCTCTGGGCCTCAGTTTCCTCATCTGTAAAATAAGGAGATTGGATTGGATGGCCTCTAAATTTCTTTATGACATTAACTCTTGCTTATGTATGCATTATGAAAGTTGACAAGTATCAAAATCTCCATGTAAACGGAGACTTCAGTGCATGAAATTCACTGTGAAACTTTAATTTGGCCATAAAACAAAGGTCTGAGTGGAATAGTGTTTCATGATGAGCTCAGGCAGTCCTATTTTCGGTTTTTACCTCACTAATGTCAGTGACAGAACTAAACACACATTAAATATAACAGCATGAAATTTGCTGTTTGCCACAAGGTGGGCCTTCCCTTGCCATTTCATACTTGTTAAGCTATCCCAAAAACACATGTAGAGGAGAGTATATACTTTTAACAAGTCCCTGGTATTTATTTTTGTGCTTCTCAATGTTACACCCCAGGGCTTGCTGCTGAACTCCTTTTCTGGGTATTAGAGACTAGGAGTAAGATCCTTTTTGGCTTGTACCAAACATGGCATTTCCTCAGATAATATAATCAGGTGGGTCTAGGTTGTCATCATTGTTCCATACTTCTAATTCTGGGGTGTGTTGAATGTTGGCTCCAGAACATCACAAATCATGGTGTCATCACCCATGAACCTCCCAAACTAGCCAAAATATGTAATCTGAATTTCAGAGGCCACCCAGTCAAACCTCTACCTGAATAAGAATCCCTTCCTCAGTTAATATTATTGTTGTTGTCCAGTTGTTTTTCAGTCACGTCCTACTCTTTTTTGGGGAGGAGGCAATCCGATTAAGTGACTTGCCCAGAGTCACAAAGATAGCAAATGTCTCAGGCCAGATTTGAACTCAGGTCCACCTGTCTCCAGGGTTAATATTCTTTCCACTGTACCACCTAGCTACCCTGTGTCTGACTCTTCAAGACCCCCTTGGTAAAGATAGTGGAGTGGTTTGCTGTTCCTACTCCAGCTCATTTTACAGATGAGGAAACTGAGACAAACAGGGTTAAGTGACTTGCCCAGGGCCACACAGCTAACAAGTGTCTGAGGCCAGATTTGAACTAAGGAAGATGAGTCCTCTTGACTCCAGGCCCCATGTTTTACCCACTGTACCACGTAGTTGCTCCCTCGACTAATACCCACCCCCAGAATGGTCATCTATGCTTCATAAAGCCACATTGGCTCTTAGTGTTTGATGTTTTCCTTTCTAAATGCTCACAAATATGTTCTGGGAGTTTACCAAGATGCAACATCAAAATCCCACCTTCTTTCCTTTCTTGAAAATGAGACCATTTGCCATTTTCCAGGCCTGCAGCCATTCTCCCACTCTCCAGGACCTTTCAGAATGTCACTAATAGT